CAGGTTTTGGCAATTAGTCATAAGGGGAAGGAGGCTTTGGACTGAGAATAACACGTCCATCAGGAAAATCAATACTAATATCTGCAGCTATCCAAATGAATCCTCACACCAACACCCGCCTGTATCTTCATTAGTGGATGCATGCTGAGCGTCCTGCCGGCTCCCATCACATCATGAAAAAGAGAATGATTAAAGGAGAATCTGCTATTGATCTCTCATCAGGGAGATGGGGGAAAGGAAAAGGGGGGCGGGGGGGGGAAAGGAAGGACATAAATAAATGCAGAGTTAGAAATACATGTTAGATGGACATGTAGAGAGGGGAAGAGCATGCGGGGTGAGAGCAGGCAGGAGGTCAAGTCCGAGAGAGAGAGAGAGAGAGAGAGAGAGAGAGAGAGAGAGAGAGAGAGAGAGAGCAGGGAAGGGGAATACAGCCGCGGTGTATCTCATAGTTTTACATGAGAAGTGATGCCGTAACATACATACACACACGCACGCACACGTATGTGCTGTTGAAGTGAGGAAGTACTGATTCTGCATCCCTGCGTTTCAGCCATTGTAAAAAATGCTACATTGTAACATCGGGAATATATTTTCTTGCTTTGCTGCGTTGTTTTTGTAGGAATAAACATGATGCCCATCAAGTGAAAGGCACTGGGAGCTCTGACTCATTGGCCTGATGCTTATGAGGGCACAAGGATGCGTCATGCATCATTTACGGCGAAACACATTCGGATGGCGTACTTATTATAGTCAGTGTGTCATTTCCAGTGTCACATTGTTCTGTAACGCAGAACAGTGGTGCAGTGAAACAAACAGAAACCCAACATACCGTTTGAATGTCAGCGGTGACAAACAACCCCTGATTTCTAATTCTCACACATTCACGCAAGCTTTTTTTTCATCATTATTTAGCGGATAAATAGATAGAGGGTGCTCATCCTTATTCTGTCGCCCCCCCTCCGACTGAAAGCGACAGATTCCTATTTCTCAGAGGTCACAAAACAAAGACAGCGTGTCTTTGTGTACAAAGTGTACATGGACTCCTCGGTAGGCTGCTTTTTTCTTTAAGAATTTAAAAAAGAAACAAAAAAAACGACTGGTCTCTGACATTGTTGGATTAGCTGTTTCCTGTTCCTGTGTTTGCCCCATTTTAGAGTTAGAAAATAGATTTTCTTTTCTACGCATGAACCCTTTGTTGCAGAGCCTAATTAGTGTAATGAATTAGTTGTGTTTGCATATCTTCCTCCCACAGATAATAATAATTAATAACAATAATAATAATTATTCATAATAATTAATAATAATAGTTTTTTCAACATGAAGAACAGCTATATATATTTTTATATGTATTTCATGTTCTGATCAGTGGATCACCAGAGCAATACGATACTAACGATAAGATCAATGAACGGCGCGTCAACTGTTAATGTCCACCAACTGCTGCAAAGAGAAAAGGTTTCTTTCAATTCAAACTCACTGAGATTTCATCTCTTCGTAGAGGTAAATGCTGCTTTGACAACACCTACAGTTGAATCTCGTCTCAGCTGTCACACCGGTTTAGTTGAAATGATGTGCGTCACTGCTGCCGTAAGTGCTCGTACAGGCCTCAGCATATAGTCACAGCTAAGTAGCTATCTATATTCATCATCTGCGTCTCTCTCATTGGCTGCAGCGTTACAAAGGCCTCAAGGCAAACGCAGCGCTGAGCCGTCTGCCCAGATAAATTGCACGGAAAATGTTGTTTTGCTTTGAAGAACTGAGCACACTAAATTTGCCTGCAAATATTATGCAAATAAAGCATCTGCACATGTGCAGCGTTTTGATTTTTTATTTAATGAATTGCTCCAACGTGGGTTTTAATTTTCAACACTGAGAGATCAAACGCTAACAGAGTATCTTAAATGACGGGCAGATCTTTTAAAATGGAAATAACGCTTCCTGTGTAAATCTAGACTTGGACGGTGAACAAACATCAGTTATGAGGTTTTTAAAATAACATTTCTGCCCATACTAAGCCAAACACCTGACCTGGGATCTGCCAGAAACCAATTCAATGTTGCCATGTGCCTGGTAAAGCTCTTTTGCTGTCCTAATTGGCTCTTTCAGTGCACTTCTTTTGATTAAGGAAGTCTATCGAGCAAACAGGGCTCCTCTCCAGTCAGCTCTTAAGCCCCACAGCTGACAGATACATCAAATCCAACACACTTGTTCTCCAGCAACACACGTACATTGTGATACATCCTCCACTCTACGTAAAAGCAGCTGGAGTTATCTTAGAGTGGGCTAAGGCTATCTTCTGGGCAAAAACCCCCTCAGCAGAACACAAAGATATGTGAGGGTTTGAGAGAGTGAGACGAACGGAGAGAGACAGCGGAGGCAGACAAATAGCCATCGATCAAGAGGAGAGCAGCTCGGGAGATAAAAGAGAAAAACCTGAAGGGACCAGCACGTAAAAGACAAAATGAGGAGGTGAAATGAGGTGATAGCAGGTAAGACAAGGAGCTTGAGAGAACAGAGAAATGAAAGCAGAGAGAAAAACAGACAAGGAGACGAACGTGTCGGCGAGGTGCAGGTTTTGTAGTCTATGACATTCCTGCAGGGAAATATTTCACAGGAGCAGAGGGGTTTGTGCACAGTGACAGTGGATAGTTTTCCGTCTTTTTGCCCTTACTCCTTAAAGCCGACCTCTGGCCATGACGTTGGCTAATATCTCCTCCCGGAGCTCCTCTAGTGGCAATGTTCCACCTTTCATGTGAGCCACGGCATTCATTTAGTGAGCCTCACAGCACTCAGTTTGTTCGGCAACGTCCATGAATTCGTTTTAGTCATTTCATCTCTATAAAAAGCCTTGAATAGGATTGTCAATGGAAAGCCTTTGTTTACATGGCTGCTAGAGCAAAGCGCTGTGCAGAGGGCCTGTCATCAACGTTGGAACAGGCAATTGGAGTTAAGTGCTCAAGGATGTTTTGAGCTGCGCCCGGCTATATATCAATTAACTAGCTTGATAATGGAATGTTAATTTTAACCGTCCAATGCTGGACTAATAATCTTTCAATTGAAGCGGTTTTCTTTTGTTGTTCTTTTAGAGCCTGGTCGTTCACTTCTGAATTTTTGTAACTTGCCGTGTGAGAACGTGACTGTCAGAGTTTATTTGATACAAGCAGTATATACATATCCAGGGATCATACAAAGAAGGTCTATTCAAATATTTTATTTTGAAAGGTGGTTTTCCTTTTTCCAACCAAATCATTGGTGAATCAATTTCAGTAAATTATGTGAAATCAAAGACAAAGGACTCAAAAGGACAAGCAGTGAGGGCAGCAGTATGGATGAAACAGGCCGGTGAGAGAAATAAGCCTCTCATCCTCTTATTCAATCATTCGAGTGCGACACGATCTCAGGGGTCATACAGAATACTAAAAATAGGAAAAGGCACTTTTATAACAGAATTTTGAAGAGTTTTTGTCTGGTCACATGGTCAGCAGACTTCACGAGCTCGACGTGCCTCGGCCTCGCACAAAGTCAGACCGTACGTAGAAAATATTTGAGATCCTGACACTTGAAAAGTTCTGTTTCTCCAGCAACTTTACCTCCTACTGGGTGGTGACAGAGGATGGGCCAGCCTTCCATGCAAAATGAATCCTGCCCTGCGTTCATTAGCACACTTTTTGTAACGGAGCAGCAGATGGTATCACACGCACACATATTCTCTGACACTCACACTGCAGCCCCCTGAGGAGAAAACCTCGCTTCCTGTCCTCGACTTTCTGCGATTTCTCACTCCCACTTTTTTAATGCGTCTATCGGCATCCCATTCTAACACCCACAGTGCCTACTTCAAAGTGGCTGCTATTTAGATGTATTACCCTGACGAGAGAGTTTAAAATGTGCAAAAAATAAATCTCAGTTGCTTTGTAAGCACGGCTACCCAACTAGAGTTCATTTGTTAGAAGACAACACGTCGGACACGTGTGTTTTCGCTGTTGCTTCAGCAATCTTTCTGTAGGTTTCTTATTTTTGGCTCCATCTTTAAAATGTGCCTCATCTGTTGAGCATTGATGTAAAGTATCTGCTGAGAGCTGTCGCCATGGTCGGGAATTAAGGTAAACACTCCACGCAGGATGCTATACGTGCCTCTATTTCAGAACCATCCATCGGCTCTCTGAAGGCTTTTACAGACATTTCAAGTGTTTCGCGTGGTGACAGACAGGAGATCCAGACAGCCGAGGTCATGCAGTCTGTCTTATACGATATCACGGCTCGGCAGGTTTCTACATGTGACAGTGTGGCAAAACGTTATGTGTCTCCTCGGCCGCTGAGGGTGCGGCGCTGTATCTGCTGATGATGATAAACATCAGGTCTGAGGTCAGCCGACACAGGACGGATCACGGCTAAAGGCTGACAGCTCACACCAAAAAAACACTGACTGCACACACCCACCTCTGTCGCAGCCGTCGCACAACATACACAACACCTTTGACCCCATTGCATCCTCCTACGTTCCAGGAGGGTGGTTTTTTTGCTCGCAAATGTCTTCATGGACGAAGCTGCACATTCTTATTTTGGTCTATGAACACACACACACACACACACACACACACACACACACACACATATGCATGCAGTGCCAGTTCCTCCTGTCACAGGGCAGACAGGAATCAGGTTGGTTAAGAGAGCCGATGGTGAATACCATCACCTTTTATAGACATGCCCAGTGAAGAGGACACACACACACACACAATAACATTCCTACATCCACAGGGCAGATGGTGGAGAGAATGCCTCACAAACCAATTCTAAATCAAAATTCTTTGCCAACTTTACTTCCCTGCTCTGTGTTCATTCAGCCCATGAGAGCAAACAAACACAGCTCTGTGCTTAATGCACAAATACGCAACATGACAGGTGATCGCCTCGTATGACGGTCACGTGTCATGTGAACACAAACACACGCAAGCGCGCACATCTTGAGGGCGTTTGAGGGAGAAATTCATTCTTACCTTTGCGGTAGTTCACCTGCTTGGTTTGCATGGAAAAGGTTCCCACCACAAGACCCATGTTGACTCCTGGCTGCAGACCGGTTGAGTGTTTCTGCGAGTGCGTGTGTGTCTTCCCGCCTATAACCAAGGTGTGCTAGTGAGTACGCGTGTAGGAGGTGTGTGTGTGTGTGTGTGTGTGCTCTAATTAAGTTAGTGCATCAGCCAGCAGTACGGGTAGAGGAACAGCTATCACATCTCATGCTGCTTCACACCCACGATGCTCTGCTGCTTCTGCTCGAGGCTGTGTGTGTACGTCTGTGTGTGTGTGTGTGTGTGTGTGAACGTCTGTGTGTGTGAATGAGCGAGTGGGTGAGTAAGAGAGAGAGGACGTGTGTGTGTGTGCGTGTGTGTGAGAGTGAGAGAGTGTGAATGAAAAAGCTGGCGCGCATGCACACTGGAGCAACCTTGGTCTACGCTGCCACCGACGCTGCCTATTTCCCTTCTGCCTCCCTCTCTGCAGACTTCCCTCTCCCCCCTATCGCTCTCTCTCTCTCTCTCTTTGTGTCCTCCGCCACCAGACTCAAGTCGCTCCACCTCTTTACATATCTGCCCCTGTCTGTCTTTGCTTCTCCCCGCTTGTCCTGCTGCTGTGGAAGAGGGATTGCCCACTGTTGCACGGGAAAAGGACGGAGACGGAGAGAGGGAACGGTAGAGAAAAGGGTGTGTGTGTGTGTGTGTGGGAGGAGAGGGGAGGAGGGGAGGAAACACTCAAGGGATGATACGAGAGCAAAGGAAAGGGGAATGGGACATTTAAGAGGGGGAAGAGCAGTAAAAGGGAGAAGAAGAGAGGGAGGCAAAATGGGAAGAAGGGGGTAAAAAGGGGAGGAGGGAGGTGCAAGAGGTGAGGGGAGATTAGGGCGGGTGAGACTGAGCCACCCCGCTTTGTAATTCAGTGTGTGTCAGCATGTGCGTGTGCCTGCGGTGTGCTGCACATGCGTGTGCGTGTGCCTCCGTTTAGCCGACATGTTCTCTGCTGGTGAATCATCACGCAGGACCACAGTCAGGACAGATGCAAGCAGGGGAATGGCGACAGTGCACCTCACACGTGTGCCCCCCGTCACTCACTCAACTCCTTGCTGCCCTCTGTGTTACACCACCCACCCCTTCCACCCCATTGAAATTCCTCGCGTGGCTTTCGTTGGGACACACACACACACACACACAGGCCGTAGCCGTAGAAAGACTGTCTATGATGCCAACTTATTCTTACTGTCTCAGTGAAGCGTGAGCAGTCTTGTCACGCAGGGCACATCAGCAGGGCCTTCTTCTCGTCCCTGACTATTCCAACCGCTTGTGTGTGCAGCTACTAATGATGTTAAACCCACTGAGAGAAAAATCAATGCACAGAATATGATATCTGCATCATCAGCAATGCAGCCCTCCATAAGAACATGGAGGGCCGCATGAAGTCGAAGAGTAAACTCACATTCACACACCTCCCCTTTCTCCTCCTCTGGCTCTCCTGACGGAGGCAGATCTGGCAGCAGCTTCCAATCAAAATCAAATAACAACAAACACATTCCACACACGGGCACAGACGCACACATACAATCACCCAGCGGTAGAGGTGGCAATTTATCAACAGAGAGAAAACACATTACGGCAGCGACACGTTGACACGCGACTCGATTCGGACAAGACGAGACAATGTGAGGTTTGACTTTCACACGCATTCATCAGTGGAGAGGAGGCAGATTTGGTGGATCAAACACAGGGAAGGAGAAGAAGACTTGGGTGGTGCCGTGGACCCTGGGAGGGAAAGACGTCAGCTACCTGTTGACATGAGACCAAGAGAGGTCACAACATCGATTAGACAGAGGTCCGAGTCAGCGACCGGGAGTCACGGAGGTCAAGGAGGACATTGAGACACACGTGCGCTGTGCAATCCACCCAACCACCCTGATGTCTAATGCAACTTCCTTCTTCTGCTACTGATGGAGAAGAGTCGTAGGTCCCGCGGGTTGAAGCTAAAACATCAAGATTTGCTGTCAATATTTTTTCAGTTTGCTGAATTGATGCATGTTTGTCTATATTACCTCCAGTCAGTACCAAGGGTTCTTTCCTAGAAACACCGCCGAAATCTGGAAAAGTTATCAGGAGTGTCATGAGTGTTCGATGAAGAAAGCCAGTATAGTTCATCACATATATCCAGAAATCTTTACCGAAATCTACTGAAATCCCTTTAAAATAATGTCATTCAGAATACTTTTAGATACCCCGTGAATACGCGGACAAAGTAATTGAGGCATTTATTGGTAAGTGGTTTGGACCAGGAAACTAAAGTAGCTTTGCAGAGTAATAACACTAAACAGCAACAGGTTCATCCCATTAGGCCGTGGGCCAAAACTCGTCCGAGACATTAAGCCCGACGTGATGAGACACACGGTGCTGTCCAAGGTGCTGAGCGTCATCCTGAGCTCAGTATTCATTAACCATTACACAACGGACCTTTCACCGGATGGAGATGACGGCCTGAATGGTGAGGCGAAGAAAAGGATGGTGTCAGACAGAAGGGCGGGGAGGCATTTGACAGCAGCGTAAGAAGGTGTTGAGAAGCAGAGGAAACGGGGCAGCGAATAATAAATTGTGCGGCCAGTCGGTGTCCGGTCTTATCAAACGGAGGCTGCATGTGAACGGTCACAGTGACGAACACACAGAAGAGAGGAGATGAGAGTTGAGGATTGAAAGGGCAGCGGGGAGGGGAGGGAATAGGGAACGAGTGAGGAAACTGAGACAGGGGAGCGATAATAACTACAGAAGGAGTGCAGAAGAGAGTGAGACTGTGAGAATGTAGAAGGTGAGATAGATGGGAAGGGTTAGGCAGGGAAATGAAAGAAGCAAATCAGAGCAGAAAACTGGTAGGTCGACGTAAGATAGAGGGGAGATGTAGGTGGGGAGGGAGGGGCCGAGTGTGATCCGAGTCATCAGAACCAACAGGGTGATTTACCGGAGTAATGGATGGAGGAGACGAGCTCCACCATCCTGACAGAATGTGAGCGGCTGCTACGCTGACTACACGCCGACACAGTCCGTGTCTGTGCAACGAGGCCTGACGGCGGTCAACGCGCAGGCAGGGAGAGAACGCTGATCGTGTTTAACGGTACCTGACGGGCCGAGCGTGCGTTACGTCTGCAGGAACAGGGACGCCAGTCGGTTCGGTGTCTCTCTTTTAGGCCACATTGTACGCCGCCCACGTACTGAATGCCACCTGTCAGGATGGGAAATACTCCTCTTTCGCAGCCAACGTCTAACCTACTAACACCAAGCTGTGAACCATTCAGCTAGTGTGAAGTATTTACTGTTTACTATCATGCATGTTTACTATTCCTAGACGCAGACATTTAGCACTTGATACACAAGAGGATTTATTTTTAATTAGTTTTTTACAATCTTGCTAACTGGACTGAACTGGACTTTTTTCCTTCCAAAAGAAAATGCCAAGTTTTTCGGCACCCAATACAAATACTTCCATTTAATTGACTCTGCCCTTCCGCGTCTCACTTTTCCTTCCTCCTCAGCAGATAAAGACTGATGCAAGGGTTCATTCCATGCAGCTTGGGGATTTATTACACAGCTGGCGGGTACAATGGTGTCCCGTCCCCTGAGAGCCGCCTCCATATGAATTACTATTTCGTATTAAACATGCACTGTGTCCCCTTTGGCGCATTAAAAGTGATATGACAGCTTTTTCTAAGCAGCAGTTCTCACACACACACACACAGGAGCACAGACAGGGAAAAGCAGTCTCTGAAATATCCACACAGCATGTGTGCACAAAGATAGACACATGCTTACCTACACATGTGTAAAGAGTGCAATCGTGCAGACAGATACTTCTCCATCCTACTTTCACGCCTTCGCTTCTTTGAATACAGTGAAGTGAAGCCAAGTAGCCCCGAATCAAAGCGGGAGGACCTGAAAGGAATATCTAATGACCAAAAGGGGAGCGGCGGAATGTTTCATTAAGCACTTCTGCGGAACATTTTCCCTCCAGGCCGTCGCTGGTGAACCCACAGCTTGAAATTCCACCTCTGCGTCCGTCATCATTCATCAAACCGGAGGAAGAGCTGCCTCATCAGCCAGCACTTTGAGGCGCTGAATATATAATGCTCTGCTTGCTTAAGACTCAAGTCCGTCTTTGCTTCATTTAAGCTGCTCCGACGTTGACTTCAGCAACGGAAAGACGTGAGGACGAGGAGGCTGACGCCCTCTGCTGTGCACTCCGACCACCTCACAGTCCGGGAGAAAAGAAACAATTCACGGCATTCAAGTGAGACCTGTAAATGAAGCATTACTGAAGTTAAAATGTAGGACGCTTGGGTCATCTTCTTTGTCAATGAACAAAGCTTTTTTTTTCCTCTCTGGGAAATGAGCTCATCTGGTCGATCCGGTAAACGGGCAGGAAGGAAAAGGATGATTAGGATTGCGTGTTCCTCTCATTCCCAACGCAGGAGCACTCAGCAGACTGAGTGGCACATTCATCTTTGGTTCCTCCGCGAAAGTATCACATGAACGAGGTTTGTCTCTGATTACCAAAGAACCTCCAGGCACAGATGTGGAAAAGATGAAGTAGATTTCATGTAATCCTTCCCATGTTGTATTAATACTAATATGAGGTAACTGGAGGCTGAAGAAAAGAAGGGACCGATTACTGCACAGCAAAATTCTTAGAGTTAATTACTCTAAAGTGTTGAAGTGCAGAGTTGAAATCACACTGAAAAAGTTAATTCAACTCTTACAGAGTCAATTGTACGGAATGGCTGGTGTCATTATTCAGTGTCAAGATCAGATTCATTTGTGACACTTAGTAGAGTTAAATTAACTCTTTGATAGGTTTGACATGTAACTGTACAATGTCACACTTCTTGGGTTTTGGTTTAACACTACGTCCTGTGGCACATGGAGTAGAGAGGGTGAGCTGGGAACCACAGGGTTGGTGGTTCAAATCCTGGCTGCTCCATGTCAAAGTGTCCCTGAGCAAGACACCTAACCCCTAAAATGTAAAAACCATGGGTTAAGAATGCAATGTCAGTCACTTTGGATAAACGTGTCAGCTAAATGACCTGTAATGTATTTAACACCGAGCAGATTTATTTTTGACACTTATTCCGAGTTAACTTGTTAATACTTCATTGAGTGTTGATTTAACACTGACAAGATTGGGACAATATAAACACCATCTTACAGTTAAAATTGAATCTCACAGAGTCAATTTAACTCTCTGAAATTTTCTGTGTACTTTCTGTGTTTTGCTTTGGACTTTTTAGCCAAAGTTAGTTTTCTTTGTCTTCTCTTGTGTGGTGAATATTGAATTTCTACTCTTCAGACCCCGTCAGAGCCCCTGTAAGCACAGCGCCACCTGCCCATCAGTTAATGAACTAATGCGTTTTAAAGCCCACTCGACCCCCCAATGGCACAGCCTTCAGGAGCAATTTGGAGTTCCGGGACATTTCCACCTGCAGACTTGGGGATCGAACCCACAGAGCGCGGCGTTGTGCGGCGGAAGGAGGCACCGGAGGGCAGCCTGCATGGGAAAGATAAGGGAAATCCTGCAGGCGCTGGCGTGGCTTGACAGGATGTTTACAGCGTGTTTTTCACCAGTTGACAGGAATTCA